GGAGAGGAGAGGAGAGGAGAGGAGAGGAGAGGAGGCGGCTGCAGCTGTGGTTTTGGACTCGGTCTCGGCACCCCCTTGCTGCCCCCTCTCCATCTCCTCTCTGGCTCCTCCAGGGACACACGCCTTGGCCAGGCCCCAGGAACCAGGGAGTCAGGACCAGGCTAAGAGGGAGAAAAAGGGGGGAACAACAGAGGGGAAGGAAGGATATCACAAAAGAAAGAGGAAAAACAGAGCTGACCTAATATGCGAGTATTGTCAGGCAGCACCTACACAAACAGGAGAGTGAATGAGATGTTCCTCAAAGGCTTCTCAAAATGGTAAAAAGCGTCAGATTTCCAAAAACACTTGGGCCTGTTAAAGTTCTTTTTTTGTTTTACTATTTGATACTGGTGCTGTCACTGGGTTTTATGTTGCACTGGAATCTAGTTGTAAAAACCTGCATTTACTTAGATATCTTGCTTTTTTTCTTTTTAGGAGATATTTTCACTTAACCAAAGTGTTTTATTTAATGATTTTTAGTCATCTATATGCAGTCAGAGTCTTGTGTCGTACTTTTTATATACAAAACAATGCATAAAACTTTAAATGTTGCATTTAAGACTCATGCCATCTACCTGTTGGTTGCTGATGCTGCTTTTTCTTTTGACTATTCCAAGCTTTTAAAAAAAAAAATCATAAATGTTGCACCACTTTTTCAAACTAACCTCTACTAGATATTAAATATTCAGACATATGAGCCAGAGTGTTAACCATCTGATACATATCTTAAGTGAGTTACTCCACAAGTCATCAACGTACATTAAAATTACATTACAAACCCATTTCTCCTAATGAGAGATACATTCTGATTAGAACTCCCTGAAGGTCCAAGCTGATCAAACCGGCGACTTCAAAATATATTCTGGTAGTAAAAATAGTTTGATTTTATGACACATTCTGTTTAGAAAGTCATGTCCATTGCTGCTTAGTGTTACACAGCACCTTCGTGTTTTGGCAGTATAGCTTCTCTGCTCTTTCGCCAGCGGTCCATTAGAAACTTAAGCCTATATGTTTTTGCCAATGTGTCGTTAATTGCATAAAATTTTAGGAGCGTTTTTTCCCCCTATGAACACACACTGGCACCTGATGACTGCTGCATTTCCTGAATTTAGAATTTTACTGTGAGTAAAGATTCATTTGCATTAAAATGGAAATACTGTTTTTCAGCACCAGACCATGGATCTAAATGTCCACTAGGTCATCTGTAGATGCTGGTTCCTGTCACAAGTGCCTTAAATATAACATGATAATAAGCAGAAAGCTGGCCGAACACCACTTTCAACTCTGTCACCAAGCAAATACATGCTGCCGCTTGCTGCTATGGCAATATCCATCCTCAGAACACTGTAACTGGGGAAGGAAGTGATTTTCTTGGGTGAAAAATAAAAACTTTTTACACACTTTTAACATGCAATTTCGTAAAGACCGGCTCTGGTGACTTTATTCCACCATCCGCCAGTGATGGAAACAGAAACGGCAGAATTTAAATGCAGAGCAGATAAACAAACCTAAGAGAACGGACACTAGACGAGGACTTCTGCTCTCCACTTGGCTGGCTTGTTTCACTTTAGTAACCTTGCCAAAAGCACTTGTAATAAATTCAGGATTAATAAGTGCAGAAGTGGAAAAATTTCAGTGAAGTTGCCTGTGATTTTTCATGGTTAGAGGATGCGTCTACAGAAGGCTCATCCTTTGAATTTGAGATAAGCTGATCAGCTCCAAGCTTTGAGTGTTGTGCACCAACATATGGCGTCGCTGGTAGCCTGACTTGACATTCAGAACGTTTGGGGTCTGCTTGTACACGATTGAACCCAAAGTGTAATCTGCTCACCCCCTCTGCCCTGCAGTCCTGGGTTAGTGTGTATTTGAAGCCTATTCTCTCTCTCTGCTCTCCCCCACTACTCAGTGTTTTATGGGCTGTGTGCTGCGGTGCATTGACCTCCCTCTCACCCCGGTGCCACCCAGCCGGTGCAGGATTCAGGCGCGCACGGCCCCTGCCAAAACCCCATAGCGCCACATCTGCAATCCATAAACGCCAGCCACTCTCGCTCTCCTACTCCCTCGCCCACACCACCTCAGACTCTCACACTCCTCCATTTCACTCTCTCTCTGTCTCTCTCTCTCTCTCTCTCTCTCACTTTCTCACCCACTAACATTTTATTTTAATTTCCAAATTCTATGCATCCCCCCTTTTTTTTTTCTACATTCCTTTAACTGCTTCCTCCCACCACTTCTGGTTTTATTCATGCTGAACATCAACTAACTCTTCCCCTTATCTCTCACTCCCTCGCTGCCCCCTTTTTCTCTCCTTCCGTTTCTTTATCCACATCCAACGGAAAAATCTCTCACCCATTATATCTTCAGTGAGAGCCAACTGAGTGTGGTGGCAGTGAACTGGGAACCACAAGACATTCCTGATCCAAACAGCACTAAGTCACCAGCGTTCACGTCTTCTGACGGCGGCCTGTGCCAAACACACACTTCACTTATGGGCTGGATTCAGTCTTACCACGTCGCAGTTGGTCCCCAAACAGCTAAATGTTTATCTGTTTCAAATTGATAGTGTCAGGGGAAAAAATGTAGTGCGCTCATCTAAATTCAGCTCCATTTTTGTATGTGTTACTGTAAGAGCATTCTCCATCATCGGGGTACTGAGTTCCCCCTCCCCTCACCGTGAACCGCCGGCCAGCAGAGCACACCCCTCCCCTCGGCCTTAACAAGATGTGTTCAACACATCACTGTTGCTGTGCCCTTGCTTTAATACATGTTAAAAAAAAAAATCATAGAAAGTAGGAAATAAATTGAGTGTTACCACAAAACTGTCCAGAGCTCCCAGCTTGCCCCCCATGGGCATTAGAGACATTCGTCTTTCTCGATTGTATTATCTTTTTTTTTTTTTTTTTCCCTTTCAGCTTTTTCCACTGTAATCAAATAAAAATGCACGGAGTGAACTTTCGCTCCCCTTCTTCCCTTGGATCATGTTCTCCTCTCCATCCCAAAGTCTTCACCTTCTGGTTTCCCAGACATATTGGCATGCCTCTGTGGTGCAGTCCCAACAGAGTCCGCGGATGAATCATGTTGCTGCAGGCATGCGAGAGCTCAGTTTTTATGATAAATATTGCAATTCATAAATCAGTGTTTTCCTAAGCAAGAAAGTATGGGGCAGGGAAGGACACAAAACTGTAGAGCGATTCAGCTTTGGTTTCAAAACAACAGATAGGTCATGATCTGAGTCTCTGAGTGTGTGTGTTGACTACAGCTGAAGAGAAGGCAAGAGGTCGGGGCAAGACCACCATGAAGAGAGAAAGAGCAACGCTGGTTGAAGTATTATCAAATACTAATATTTTTAGATCTACATACAATTTTAGGCACTTTTCTGGTAAATGACATCAAGGAAGTTTGTTTGGAGAATAAGTGTTTTGAAGGCTTTTTCACCCTTTAACACTGATGCAATGTTGGCAGCGGCATGTGTTTTCAAATAAATGGATTAAAAAGTCTTGTGTTTTGTGATATTGCTGTCTCATACTGTATTAAACGCATTCCATGACTAGTGATTAATAAGGTCTTTGCAGCCTCTTTTTTTTTTTTTTCCAGTAAAGTCCACTGGAGCATGTTTGTGATAAAAGATAATATAAATAAATAAAGCTGACAGCTGCTATTTGTCCAAATCTTAAAGAGTATTTCATTGAGAGATTACAGACAAGATTTTTTTTTTGGTTAAAAGCACAACTTGGGAGTTCTGTTTCCACGATTAAAGTTCCTCAAACATTATCTATATAATGATTTTGTCCTAGTTCTTCTATTTTAATGTGGCTGCAGGCATTCAGCCACACATGCACGACTTCAAAGAGTCGATACATGACTAATGTTAAAATTATTACAGACCTGCCAGTTGTGGTAACAGCCCTCGGATCTGTTTAATCATAAAGCGCTCGATGCTATTTGTGCGGTGGTAGTCGCTCAAATATTTTTGACCTATTTCAAACGGAGGTGAGAGTTGCTGGAGAAAACAGGGAGGAAAGCTTATTAATGCTTATTCATCAGCGCCATCTAGTGGCTGAAACAAACTCAGCAGCAAGTTAAAGGCTCTGAAGCAAGATGCCCAGTAGATGTTTTGGGTCAAAAATAGTTTTATTTAATACACACTACACTTTTGTTTTTTAAAGTGTCATGTGACCACGGTGATGGTGTTTGTGGTGATACATGTCCTGTGTCCACCTTGCATTGCTACAGCATGCTGTCCTTCCGCTACTCCATGTCCGAGTCATCCATTTCCACACTGTACTCTCTCTTGACCCACGGTAAAGGCAAGGGCACATGGGGGTCGTAGGTCCAGCGAGGATACACTCTCTTGTACAAGTTCATCAGGACAGTGTCTTGAGAGCGCAGCTGGTTATCAAACACACACTTCATGTGACCATGTGTTCCTAGAAAAAAAAAAAAAAGAAGAGAAAAAAAGCATAGCATTCAGAATTCAAGTGAGAAATTATGTGTTGCTTTAAGAATCCTTATTAAGCACATTTACAGGTGTGGGGATTTATTTTTGGGGACATGTTCACTTGTCTTAATGGTGGAAAATATATAGTTTTTTTAAAATTTCTGTACATTCCTGCAGCACTTCTTCTCACCTTCTGTAACGTGTTTTTATTTTTTTTATTTATTTTTTAGCTCCTGTCTCTTTAAAGCCAAAAGAAGTGTTTCAGGGGGGTAAGGAGCTTTTTTTTTTTCTCTGACGTGGACTATGACTTTTGCCAACCTTCTACAAGCAAGAAAAAAATAATCTAAAACACATTTAAGGAAAGGGGGAAAACCCTCGAAACATAATGTAGACTCTCTAAAGAAGCTGCCTAGTTTTGTTCCTCAATTTGCCTTACCTAGAGCCTCCTTGATGTGGCCTCTCCGACCCCATTTCGTTCGCAGCTCCACTGGCTTAAACCACATGATATCATCTGTCGCAGAACGAAAGGAAAGAACATTAAAGTCACACAGAAGGCACGCATTATGTAATGTTCTGAAATCATAGTAGGAAAAGTATGACAGCATCCTCTCACCCCTGTTAAAGAACATGTAACGGACAACCGCAGAGCGCCTGTTAATTTTAAACGGGTGTCCGCTCAGTACGATCCTCTTCAGCACCACGCGCTGAGGGTCGCAGCTGAGCAGGCTGCCAGTAGCCACCAGGTCCTGGATGCCTGGAAACATACGGTACGAAGAACACAAGTAGTTAAAATGCCAAAACAGCACAGAATTAGCTTAAGTAAATAATTAAATAAAGCAATTCAAGCATCAGCAGGGAAGACGGTCAAAAGTTTAACCTTAAGGCATCTAGACAACGAATTAAATCGACTTATGTTTAAGCATGAAAAGGGCTTCTCTTCTCACCATCGTTCCTTTGTTTGAAGAGCAGGACGCCTGCCGGGGAGAAGGTGATGGGAGCGTACACTGACACCACGGTGGGGGCATCTGGCTTGAGGAAGCGCTCCATCTTGTGCTTGTCAGCTGGAAAACAGCACAGTACAACGCTCAGTAATGCATTTACTACTGTACTGTACATGCAGCAGGAAAAAAAAAAAACTGCTCCAGAACTCTCGCTTTTACAGTCATTCTGCTATTAGATTTCTGAATAGAAAGTAAAGCAAATCTCTAATGCTACTGAGAAACAAATAATGCTTCTCTATGACGATGATGTCCCTTAAGCAGAAATTCAAGCAAGAAACTGAATGCACTGCCTTTAAAGTGCCTGTATGATGCTATTGATGAAAGCATCACCTCATCCCGAGTGTATTTGAAGAAGAAAACTTTTTTATGAAGTGATCAGTGAACCAAAATCATGTGGGACAAAAGCACTGTACAAATATATTTTTCCTCTTTCAGCAGATCCAAATATTGCATCAGTTCCATTGAAAATAAAAGGTTTTTGGTACAAAATATAACATTTATGAGTGCTGCTATAAGTGACCCTACAGTGTACAGGACTAATTTTTTACAATCCTCATGTATACGGCATCACTCGTAGCTCTCAGCTCTTCTACTGCATGTATTGAGGTGATTTTATTGCACAATTAAGAGAGTAAGGTTTTATTAGGGGTGTGCTTGGAGGTATGTTTGCTTAATTAACAACTGTTGTACCTGATGTGTGCTGAGAGAAGATGGGAGAGGCTCTGAACCGCCGAAATCCACAGTGGAACACAAGCTCCTCTTTAGATTTGATTGGCTCTGTGTTGGTGGGGTGTCTTCGCACCAAAACATGCATCACTGACATCTGTAAACAGAAGAAAAAAAAACACAGTGAGGCCGGAAAAGGTAAAAACAACGATAGGTGGGTGAGACGTTATAAATCAGACATTTGGATGTTACTACCTTCTGTTCATGGGGCAGAAGAGACACCAAGACCAGAGGTTTGCCTGACTGGACGCTCTCCATCACAGAAAACGGCACATCAATGATGTGCAGTGTCACATACCAGCCGTTCTGAAATAAAAGGTGCAGCAGAGTCAGTGAACATACAAATCTAACACCTCACAAGAGTGCATTCACAAGAGAATCTTTATCTTTTTTTTTTTTTACCAAGGCTCCCTCCTCCTCAGCTGCAGCCTCAGTCAGGATGCGGCGACGAGTGCGTTCAAAGCTCTGAAACTGGAAGATGCGTGAATAGTTGAGAGGCAAGTTCTCCATGGGGTCCCAGGGCGAAGAGCGGAAACTTTTCAGGCCCCTGTAGCGCTGGAACCTGGAAGTAGAGGACAACAACAGAACATCGATCATCAGCAGCAGTAAAACTATGAAAATAAATCGATTAAAATCACTAATCTGTACCCACGTGACCTAATTTCAACATATTTACGATATTTATTTTCTTTTCCTACTTTAAAAAAAAAAACAAAACGCAGTACTGACCTGATTCTAGCAGCGGTGTCGAGGGGTGTGTCCACCTCATCAGGAAACATCTCATTGGATCGAGCCTCTCGGTAGCGTTTCAGGCCTTCTTCCTCTGCAGCTTCATCCATGTGTGCATCGTAGCGCTGGTCTGCTCCAGCTCGCTCAGTGGAGCACACCTCTTCCTGTTCTTCATCTTCTTCATCTTCTTCCTCATCTGAGGCACAGCATGAACCAGCCTCCTGAGCAGAAGGGACGCAACACAAACCTGCTTTAATATGTGATAACACTGTTGACAGATGAACAAAGAATGCAAGCAGCTCTCTGACTGTATCTGGATCATTGTACAGTTTGATGCTTTTAATGAAGAAAATGTAAAGTTGTACCTCCTGCTCTCCTTCTTTGTTTGTGAAAAACAAAACTAAATGGATGGTTACTTTTAACAGCACCCACACATATTCTCTGGCAACCTCTGAAATACTGTAATCTCTGCTTTGATCCAGTCCTACCTGTTTTATAACCACTAATGCAGCTATATAAAGTACATGTATCAGTGTTTCTAATATCATGGAGCAAGGCCACAAGAGGAACAAAGCTGTTCAAATAAAACTCGACTTAGTCCCACAGGTTTTGCTTGAGCTACATTATAAAAACATCAAGCCTTACAGAGAGTTTTGATTTAGTCAGAGCTGCTTTTCAGATATTCCTCGCTGACATTTCAACACAATGGGATTAAGTTGAGTTTAATTTAATGAGCTCTCTGCAATGCCTCCAACTAAGGCCGACAGCTTAGAACTATAGTGTAAAAAAAAAAGAGCTCTGGAAGACTTTGCACCGACGTGTCTGCACCCTCATTATCAAAACATTAAATTATTATCTTTTGGTAGAATGGTGTTCATCCCTTCAGCAGGGTTACAGAAACTTTTACAATCAATGCTAAGGTGCACTGAAGCTGTTCTGGTGACACACGGTGGCCCAACACCTCACCACGTTAGTTTTTCCTTTAATCCGTCACTCGTCTGTAGCCATCACCCCAAAATATGGAAGCATTCAATCCTTTTTGCAAAATTTGCAAGTCCAAACATGCTGAGCTGAACGGGTGTCTCAAGTGGGATTCTCTTGCTGTTGTTGTTGCACTCCACTAATAGAAAGCAAATTTATTTTCTCAATTGCAGCCACAATATTTGACAAACAATGACCAGACACGCATGTTGGGAAAACAAATACAGTCAAAAAGATTCTAAGTATAGAAACTGCAATTGTGTAACAGCCAAACACAACCGAGAGCAGCCCAGCCACAACAAACAAACTGTTTGGGGAAGGCTTGTGCAGCGCAAAACACTATTTGCATGCATTGTGTGTGTGTGTGTGTGTGTGTGTGTGTGTGTGTGATCAGGAATTGCCAGAACTATGGAAGTCCTTGTTAGGCTTACTGCCATTCCAAGTGTGTTAGTAAAGATGGTTTCCAGCACAAGACATCCATTTTTATTGCTAGGAATTCAACTTCCATAGGCAATAGATGTACAGAAGGAAACCAATCATCAAAGAAGACATGCTTCACAGTGGTTCCTTGACTGGCAAATTACAGGAGGAGCCAGACCCATGCGTGGAAAGCCCTCGGCAGGGGTCTGATTCACAACCTTTCCAACATCCTCGCTGCAATAATAATAATCATTAACATTTGAAGTACCCCTTCCCCTATTGTTACCCTCTCCTGAATACGTATCCCTGCGCGCTAACCTCGACATCAAATGCATGCTAATAACAATTACAGATCGTAATGAACCCGTTGCGTAAGGAGAGTTTCCCCGACTTCTTTTCATGCAGAGCTGGAAATAAATAAATGGTCGACCCCTCCCTTCGTCCAGACAGGAACTTCTGTTCACAAGACAGGAAGACAGGAGGCTTCTCCTGGGACTCCTGTTCCAAACACTATTGTTGTGGTGAGCAGCCTGGCACTACAGGTCAGAGACAGACACTGTGAAAACAAACAGTGCCTCTGAGCAGCGAGGTGCACAGACCGCGGGTCACGTATGCACCGGTTCAGCCCCGGAACCGGCATCACTTCACAACTTCTCCGCAGGTTACTGTCCTCATCGTCCCCCCTGTAAGACTACACCGTCTGACCTCGGCTGCGCTGTTGCTATGACAACAAGGCGCAGCTGTAAAAACTAGCCCTAAAGGTGCTTGTGGTGAAACTAGTGAATAACACATCAAATAAAAACTTAATCAGTTAACAACTATTTTAACAACTGAGTGATTATATTAACCGTCTGAACCCCAAAACCCACCAGCAGGTTTGAAAGCATGTTGTCTTTGAATAACTACCAAAATTACACAATTTGTTTATCACCGCTGCAAACAGAGAGAATTCTTGGATTTTCAACTTTCTGACAGTCCTTGAATTAAAAACATCTGTGACATGCCGTTCTGTAGCAAACCATGACAATATCTTAGTTTAAAATAGTGATATTTCATCAGAATCATTTTATTTTTTGTGTCTCGTGTAAAGAAATTGCCAAAACTAAACTATTTGTAAAGATTCTGCATGTTCCTGGGCAATCATGGAGCCATTAGTGACCCAGCTGGGACCAGCGATCACATCATAAAAGTTCTGGGACTTTTTGGTTGACCTGGGTTGAGCTGCGGGCTGGGTTAGCACAGAGCAAATAGGGGGCAAGAATGAAAACAAATTCAAAACATAAATAGTGAAATAGCTACACTATGTAGAGTCACCACCTGTGGACACTTTGATTCCAGGTTTTTCATGTTTTATAAAACAAGTAATTAAAGAAATTCAACCCCATTTTTTTCCCCAATGATTTATGGCATTCTGACTGTGTTAAAGTGCACAAAAGACACTTTTAGTTCTACTTCTAGCCATAGTTGTGCTGTTTCCATAGAGGTGCAGCATTTTATATTACAGTAAAAAATGAGCCGACAGTCACCAAAAATGTGACTGGAGCTTAAAATTTATTTTTTTAAAAACCCTCCACAAACTGCTCAGAGGCTTAACAAATGCAACCATATCATATTACTCTAAGCTACTGCTCTGCTTTGTTTGTTAAAATTGTCTAGAGACAATCAAAAATCTAACTGAAGTTGACATTTGCCCTTATTTTTGTCCTTTTCTTAATTTTTTTGTCTCTCATCTCTCTAATAAAGGCCTACATGCTGAAAGTGCTCTAAATGTGTACCTGAGAGTTAATCTCTTCATCTTCTCCCTCCATGGCTTCATCCATCATGTCGTCATCATCATCGTCGCTGCTTTCCTCATCAAGGTCACCATTCTCCTCCTCATCTTCGTCTTCGTCAACAATCCACGTGGCCTGGTAGTCAGATGTTCCTTTAGGGACCTTCATTACACGTTTGTTCTTCCTGGCCTCTAAACACCAAACAGAAACATCACAGGAAACATTTAGGGTCCTGTGTTTTTGTGACAGGTGAAATTATATATCGCTAATTAATAAAAAAATTTTTTAAAAAAAACTCAATTTCAAATCAAGAAAGGCACTCTAGTCCACTTTTCCAACTAACTAGAAATGACGGATGCTTTTGGGAAGCGTAATCAAGGGAAACGTGGCAAATGTCAACACTTGGCAAACCATCTGTGCAGACTAAGCTCTGCATAAGCTCTGTAATACAACTGTTTCGAGACACTTGAACCCTTGCCAAGCTGATGTGTCACAGTGGTAATTTAGTGTTGATCTCAGTAAAACCAGACTGCTCAGAACAACTGATCCCATTGAATCTGGTGTTACTGCAGAAGCACAATGAAGTTTTCTCATGTAGGTTCCCAGCTATCTTTATTTTCCAACTGGAACATCTACAATTCTACAACTCCACAATTTCATTTAGCAGATGCTTTGATCCAAAGTGATGTACATCTGGGAGCAGACACAACATAAGCAAGTATCTAGTCAGGAGAACACTGGATAAGTGCCATAAAGACAAGCTCAAATTCATCTCAATATGCGGTAATGTATCCGTTCTGTTTCTGCACCTTCAGCTTCCAGCAGCTCTGTTTCTGTCGGCCACGTCTGCTCTCCGTCCATTGGATCCACCTCAGCCTCAGCCTGCAGACTCTCCCTGCAGGTCGGGTCCGCTTTCATGAGCACACGCACTGGAGCTTCATCCTCACCTCCGTCCTGTGGGATACACACAAGACTGAGTAAGAATGAAATGCAAAACCAAAAGAATGTCAAAATTAAAGTTGTCAATTTAAACCTGAGACACCAAATACAAAAAGGCAAAAATGTCCATGTCAAAAACAGCGCAAAAAAATGCTATATATTAATATTTTATTCGACTTTCAATTACTATTTTTATCAGTCCTGATCATAACTACTAAGTATTCATTCATTTTCAAGACTTTAACCCATCGAATGCATGTCTCCGTACATGATAATGTCTATGGGCATTATTTGCTTTTTATGCAGTGTCAGATCGAAAAAAATAAATAAATTATACTGGAGACATTAAAGACAAACATGTCCTTGTTCATATATAAAATATATATATATATTTTCTATCATTTTCTAGGAATTTCAGATAAGGATCTTTCTTTGGCAATTTTTTGTAATCAGTACAAGGACAGCATTGTGTCAAAGTTAACACTGCTGCATGTTAAAACAGTTAAAAGTGCATTTAATTACAAACTGTGTTCTCTAATTATTCTGCAACATCAACAACACTTTGACAAAAATAGAAGCTGACAATATATGCACCGTGATGGATTAATACCAAAACAGGTTTCAAGTCTGTCAAATTAATAATGTGGAAAATCACTGGCTGCCTCCACAGGTGAGAAAAACAAATAAACAACCCCACTGAGTAACACAGTCCAAAATTATGTATTATTATTAAGTATACAGGATTTGTAGCAACCATGCTGGAAACTGCAACATTTTTGGGGAAAAAAACTCCAGAATTTTCCCTATGGGGATCATTAAAGAATTATCTTATCCTAAAAAACATTGGTGTAGTTGCAAACTCCTAAATATCATTTGTGCAGCTCAGTTTTAATGTATGAATTACAACAAACCTCTGCAGAAGCCAACTCACATGAAGAGTTTTTTAACAAACTGCATTCCACTATTTTAGCAACAACACATTTGTCAGCTTACATGACTGAACAAAGACTTTTAAATAAAGATACAAATAATTAACAGAAATAAATGTAAGAAACCATTGTATTTCTAGAAACCAAAAAACACATACCAGCATGTCTACGTCTCCTCCTTTGCCAGGTTTTGCTGCTCTAGCTGTTGTTAAATTGAGGGGAAGAGGGTCTGACGGAGCATCAATCTGACTGAGCTGAAAGTCTCCGTGTCCACTGATGTGCACCAGTCTGTCGACCCGTAGAGGACGACCACGCACGTACCCAGAGACGCAGAGGGTGCCCAGGCCTGTGTTTCCGCCACCTGTCCCCTCGGCAGGCCTGCTGGGTGTGAATGTGACATGCTGAGCTAAAAGGTGGGAGCGTCTGGAGCGGAAACCCAGCTTTCTCTGTCTCTGACTGCCCAGGTGTCTGAGAAGCAGGGTGGCATCTTGTTCCGAGTCCAGAGGGAAAAGACGTGCATCGGGGAAACGGACCTCCGTGATCTTTGACAGAGCTCTTCTGGACTCAACCCTCTTCTTCACGGGAAGATCAGACACACCCTGACACACCAGTGCTGCAGGGGGAGAGTTTAAGGTCTTAAAAACATAGAGAAATCACTCAAATTTGTGACAGTGAAGGGTGCTCATTGTGCTCAGATTTGTGCTCACCATGGCTGGGGAGGCCCTGGGCAAAGAGGCAGGAGAGGCAGTATTCTCCGTAGCTGTCCCAACCTTCAGTAGAGTCCAATACGAATACAAGGCTATCTGCAATCTTCGCCACATCCAGCAGGGAGTGCATGTCAGCTGCACAAAGAAACCATGAGAGAAGCTTCAGAATGGGAGAACAAACTGCTTATTTTAAAGAAAAAGTAGTAAAACAAAGACATAGTACAAAATGTAAATACTAAGGAGATTTTACATTACAATGTAAATACAAATGCAATTTCTAATGGTACTATACCCAGTAAAATAGTGAGACATCATCTATCCATTGTCTCTGAACACTTTATTGTATAGTTTTTGAGTTTAAATATATTCTATGGAATGTCTCAAGTGTTTATGCATGACCAGGACTGCACATTTTCGTTCTGTACAAACTATTAACTTTCTATGTCACACATTTATAAAGACATTTAATAAAAACATCAATAAGATCTGTAACACTATCCAAGCAAAACGTATTAACGCTTGTTCCATAGCTCACAGTGCATACCTGTGCTTTGGTTTAGAAAGGTGAACCTTTGTTTAAAACGTGGCAGAATCAGCCCAAAGCTGTCACTGACACCACTGACGCAGCGCTCTTGATGTACGACGCCCCCAGCGGCTTCTCCACGTAGCAGCTTGGTAATGGCGCCAGCATCGACTCCCGCATGTACAGACACCACAGCAACCAAATGAGGTGGACCGTCCCTGCTGCCAAGTCGTCGCTTTTCTGTCAAGACCTAAAAAGCACGATTTGCACGTTACTTTGCACATAAGTCATCCTTATTGCTCTTAAATGTAACGTGTGAGCTACTGGATACACTGAATTTTCAGAAGGGGCTGAATAAAGGATATACAGTTGAAACCAGAAGTTTACATACACTGTATATAAAGACATTAAACCTTCTTTTATCCTCACTATCTGACATTAAATGAGACTAAACTGTTCCTGTTTTAGGTCAGTTAGGAGTACCAAAATTATTTCTATTTGCTAAATGCCAGAATAACAAGAGAGTTTGGGAAAGCCCAAACAATCATGTCATGGCTTTGGAGGCTATTACCAGGTTAACACCTCAAACACACTGCTTCCTTTTGTAAGAACATGATAAAATCTGAAGTAATCAGCCAAGATATCAGGAAGAGAATTGTGGACCTCCACAAGTTTGGTTCATCCTTGAGTACAATTCCCAGATGCCTGAAGGTTCAATGTTCATCTGTTCAAACAGTTATACACAAGTATTAACATCATGGGAATGTCCAGTCATCATGCTGCTCAGGAGGGGGTGGGTTTTTTTGTCGCGCGGATGGTGTTTTTTTGGTGCGTGTTGTGATCCCCCGAGCACAAGCGCTAGAGCTTTTGTGGATGTTGTTGTGGCTGTTGTCAGAGTGTGTTTTTCTCCAGTGTGACCCGTGTTGTGTCCTGATCTGGTGTGAGGGTCTTCTGAGAGAGAGAGGGGCTCTCTCTCCCAGCGCCATATAAGAGCGCCGTTTTAGTTTTTGTATGTGCACAGGGGGAAAAGAGCGTTTTTTTTTTGAACATGTGTCGTTTTGTGTTGTGACTGTGGTTTTGCTGTTTTTGGCTATTGTGCCTCTTTTTATTTTTGGGGGAAAAGGGGGAGGTTTGTAGGCTTGGGACCTTCTTCCGACTTTTGAGTTCGGGGGTTGGCGGCTTCTTTTTTTTGGGTTTTTTTTTTGGGGGGGGGCTTGTTGCCTTTCCCAAATTAATTGGCTTCTTGGGGAAGGACCTTCTTTTGGAATTTTTGGCTTACCTTTTCAGGCCTTCGGCCGGGAGTTCAAGGTTTGTTCCCAGCCGGTTTTTCCAATTGGCCATTGCCTTGAGGCTTCCCCCCGGTTTGTTTCCAGGTTGGTTTCGGGCCACCAAGTTCATTTTTTTGGGTTGGCCTTCCCAAGGCCTTGTTTTCTTTCTTTTGGCCACCTTTTGGGCGGGGTTGAAAAGGCTGTTGGGGCAGGTTGGCCACCAACCTTGCTTCGTTTCCTTCGGTTTGTTTTGGGGGATTGGGCCAAGTTTCCGTTCACTTTTTTTGGGAGGTTTTTGGAAGGAACCCCAAACGTTTTCCCCCAGTTCTTCCGTTTTAAGGGCATTGTTCCCAATTCTTAGGGAGTTTTTTTTAACCTTTTGCTTTTGAGGAAGTTATTAACCATTTTTTTAAAAAAATATATATCTTTCTCTTATTATTCTGGCATTTATCAAATCAAAATAATTTTGGTAATTCTAATTGACCTAAAACAGGAAAAGTTTCGTCTGATTTAATGTCAGACAGTGAGAAAAAAAAGGTTTTATGTCTTTTTATACTGTGTGTAAACTTCGGGTTTCAATTGTATTTACTAGCAGTAAGTATTGGACCCTCTGCTGCATCAATCAGGAATTCAAGCTAGTCTTCATGTGATTAACAAATATACCATGTCTTTCTTGTTTCTGCGTAGCTGGTTAGCTTTGTGCCTTCTGTCCATCTTCTTTTGCTCCTTCCTCTGTTTTTTGGTAAGGGCCGTCACTGACACTCTCCCTGTGAGACAGCAAAAGGATTCATTACTACAAGATCCCAATAACAATACTACATATATACTGTATGTATATGCATCTAAATACTTAATATATTTAGATGCAGTACTCAAAGTTTGACTTAATGCTTTATTTAGCAAACCCCAAAGCATTGTTACTGCATAAAACACAAACTGCAAAAGAAGTCTTCACATATTTGACGTTGCATCATGCATCACTCTCCAGGTATAACTCAATACTTAAAAAAACTGCTGCTGGGTTGCACCACAACTTTCCAGGAAAATGTACTGTACAAGTCTAAGCTGTCAATAAATCTGCAGCAGACATTTGAACAGTGTTCGAACAACAGCTATTGTAATTGTGATTGATGTCAACAATATTTCTGCTGCTTCGAAACATGTGCTGGGTGGACAAGTCATCAAAAACACCTGGCAGAGCGGTGCAATCCAATACAACTGTTTTCACTTTGTGAAGTTTATGAGGCTCATACTTTTCTTAGATTTGCAGAGAAGTATCGACTTAGTGGTTCATTCTTGAGTCCATACCATATTTTATCATTGCTCTGAAGGATAGGTTTGCAGTGATGCCAAGTAATTCTGCATTAAATTACCTGCACTAATGCCGAATAAAAAAACTGCCAAATAAACTATAAACAACAAACACTAAACAGAAGGGGTATTTCATATTTATTTGATATTAGGACTGCAAATAACAATTATTTCTATTGTTGATTAATCCGTCAATTATTTGCTCGATTCATTGATTAATTGTTTGTTTATAAAATGTCAAAAAATTGTAAAGAATGTTGATCAGTGTAGTCCCCAAATGTCTCATTTTTCCCCACAACCAATATATTTAGGTTACTGTCACAGAAAAGCAAATAAACAATAATATATTCACTTTTAAGAAGTTGGAGTCAGATCATTTAGATTTCTTATTCTTAAACTATTTCTCAACATGAATATCAAAATAGCTGGTGTTTAATCTAATAGTCGACAGCCTCTTAATTATTAAATAATTGTTGCATCTCTAAAATCATATACATAACATGTAGGACATAATTCATACATAATAGCAGTGACCAACTGAAATACAACTGACATTAGATCACAGTCTGTAGATAAAGATATCCCTGCAGACCAAAGTTTTGTCTGACAAATAATTCTCAGTATATAAATCTCAGCACTTCTTTAGTGGATCCTTTAAATGATGAGTACTTTCAGTTAATTTGCTTCATTAGCTGCAGCTCATTACTACCTGAACAACTGTCACTTCACTGCTATCCACAATTACGTCTATGTTTCTACTTTTAATGTGCAAATTTAAGCTATAGGTTAGACATAGCTTTCTCAATAGATGTTGTTTTATAGTTAAGTCAAAGAAGATGAGATGGTAGTATTTATTACACTGCACTGTATGACACTGCATACATAGAGTGAAAATGCAACTTTTATTTATGTTATGGTTTAAAACACGTGGGAAAATCTCAAATTAAGAATTAGAAATCATTAAATTAAGACATTTAACAATGGGATGTTATCTGTCTCAGTTGTAAATACACTAGTAGGAGACTTTGTTCTCTCTTGACATATCTGAGATCTGATTGGTTGTCTTTAGCTTTAAAGGAATATGATGCACACTCCAGCAGTGGAACGCCAAGCCAGAATCGACACACGACCAGACGTTTTTACGAAATATCTAACGTACAAATGCTTTTTCAAAAAAGCAAAAAACACTTGGTTTACACATACCACACTTTCTGATTTCACCCCCAAAGCCCTGACAAGAAATCTCAACACGTGTGTTTGGAGAGGCCAGAGCTGCAGGCTAACAACACAACACATCCAGCGCCAGAAGCGGCACGTCGTAACTAAACGCTTCTTACCTTTGTTTTCTCTTTCAATTTCTCCTTTCGTCCGGTGCTTGCCATGTTTGTGTCCTTTATTTTTCTGTTTATACACGCCGGGTCTGTGGCCCTGCTGTTTCTCCTCATTCGCGGCCATTTTCACCACGTGAGAAAGACAGCAGCTGTTTTACTTCCGCACTCGCACCAACGTCACGACGCGGGGCGTGTCTTCAGGAAGTTTTTTTTAATTTCAAAATAAAAGCCTCAGTTATGATTACGTGAACGTTAGGGAATGCATTTATACAACTGTGTTTACTGCAGATGACTTGTTACGACTTTGACACAATGGGAGCTGGGTTAGCCTCAGTACTTTTTAAATTTTGAAGTTATTTCAGAGTAAACTGAATATAAAATGAGAGACACTGTGCTCCACACATCGTAAGGTCATCCCACTTCCTTTGTGGGACTTTTAATATAAACTCAACCAAATCTAAAAACACATCCAACCTTACTCTCTCAGAATTACCAGTTTTTTTGATGTACAATAACTTCAGAACATTTATTAGGGCGGTGCAAAATGTTACCTTCATACTATCATATTTTTCAAGTCATATGATGTTTTGTAATATATTACTATATTTGAAAAAAATAAAATAAAAATTTATAGAAGGAATCATGACTTTAAGATGAAAATGTAGGTTAATAAAATAGCCCTTTTATGTGTTACAACTCGTTTTGACCAACTACCTACACCAGACAGTAACATGACCCTGAAACTTGAATCCAGAATGCACTTTTTTAAAAGTTTTCTCCAAATAATTATTAAAAAGAAATGAGGTACCAATACTTTTTTATAGTACTCTGTGTTATAGACATTAAACTGTTGCAGTTTTAGTACTGAAACTACAACGTATACTCCATGAAATTGATGCTCGGAGTTGTGTATAGAAAAAAAATTGTTGAAAGACAAGATTTTGGCTTTAGATTGTGACAGCCAATGTGGAAGTAAAATTGACTTGGTTGTAGTTTCTAACAGAGCTTAATGTGTTTTTGCTCAGTTTAGTAACATAAGGTCCCCTGCTGCCTTTAAAAATGTGAGTTATCTGCACTTTCGGTTAATTTACAAAGTCATCTTATGAGATGTCAGTGAAAGAGTTAAATTAACTGAACCCGAGAAAACAAGTTTAATAAACTTGAGATATTTAGTTGAATCAACTAGTAACATAGATGATGGTTAAAAATTAACATTTCAAGATCAAATAATGAGAAATTAGCAAAACTGGTTAAGTAAACTAGAAAAAGATAGGCTGATTTCAGAACCTTTCTGTATAATGCTTTATAGTGTACATCATGCTATTTTTAAGGTCGTTTGCACATCATCAGAATAATAGGTAAACAGATACAGGGTCGTTCTTTAAAATTAGTTATGCACATGTTGAAAACAATCAAACAAACAACCATATCAGATTAGAATGGGGCTTTTCAGAAAACCCTTAAGTCTATAGCTTTGAATGCACAGGCCTCACAACGCCATTAGTTTATAGTATAAAGTTTAAACATCAGCCAAGAAATGTGAGACTCCAAGTTATTCTATATATGAGCCACATTAGATCACTGAGCACAGGCTGCTAACGCTTAAGATAGGTTGTATTAATAGCAAAGATTCTAAATCAACAGGGGGGGAAAAAAACATTCAAGAGTTTTTCTTCTCAGTATCATATCATATTATCTATCTGAATAAACAAAATCCCCAAAAATCTGATATGTGAGCTTTTTACAATCATCCGGACAATGACTCAAATCCACTTCTCAAAAGATTCATTCATATTCTGTTTTATAATTCTATGAGACTGAACTGTCTTTCTCATCAGCCTGTAATGATTCATGCTTCTTGCAATTGTCCACTTCTAATGTATTCACAGGGACAAAAAGTCCCATTTTACACAAGACTCTTCCTCTGTATATTTGGAAGTGGCAGTAAAGATGAAGACAAGCAAGGGATAAAAATTTAGTCAGAGAAATAAAGGCTGATTTGTTCATTTTAAAGTGAGTTTCTGCTCAAATAATACTACCCAGGTTAAAAATAAAAAAAATGTAAGAAGAAGAATTAGGAAATCACACAAGTGGAAAAATACAACAGCAGAGGAAAAACAGGAAGTCTAGTAATGTGTAATTGCTGATACATGATTAGTGTGATATATGAAGCAAGAAATTGCTTACATCTACTTTATTATCAACATCATTATCGTCATTGTTGTTGTTCGGCTGGGTTTAAGCAATAGTTTGGTGATTTACAACTCCACTATTTGAGGTTAAATCCTTATGTAAACACCATTAGGGCACAAAACAGACACATTTGCTACTGTCATCGCTACAGTCTTCAATCTTAAACACACCGTGCAAAACATATACAGCACCAGTCACATGTGGACTCTCTGCAGAAGAAGTATGTCGAAAGTAATACAGCCTCCACAACTCAAGACCAGTTGCCCTCTAGGAGCCAACTTCAGTACAATTTTGCTATTTGTTGACTTTGCCACAGGCAGGCCATTGTACAGGCTGAATTTACCAAGCACACTTCATGGAGGTTTGAATCTGAAAGAGAGGCTACAGGCATTTTAACTGCAACTGTGAATAATGCACAGACTCACCAAATCTTTTGAACTATTATACAGTGACCTGAGGGGAAAGCTCTCACACTCTCAGTGTGTCTATGATATAAGTACCATATTTGCACCCAGTCACTCCTAATAATCCAGTTTTTGAACAAGTCCGTTTTTATCCGGCAGATTATTATAAACTTTTGAGAAATGAAAAATAATTCTGTGTTTGATGTCAACATTTCTCTATCTTTAGGTGTGTTACGATTAGTTCTTTGAGATGCTTCCAGTGTTTCAGGCTGAAATCTTTGGAGATAATACAGTTCAAGGCTCTGAGATAAACTGGCCCCTCAACTACACCCCTGCTGAGGACCCCAAGGGCAAGGCACATAACACTTTGTTCCAGTGGAGCTGCTCAGTAGCCAGTATTAGAATATTTGCATTTAACCCGTTGTAGTACACCATTGAAGTAATCTGTGTGAGTATGCATTTTAAATTGTGTTATGAGCCAAGGCGGGGTAACAGCAAAACACACTTAATGTAAACCAATACTTACTGCAAGTAAATACAGCTGAAACCAGAAGTTTACACACTGTGTAAAAAGACATAAACCTTTTTTTTCTCACTGTCATTGGCACTGACATTAAATCAGACTAAACTTTTCCTGTTTTAGGTCAATTAGGATTACCTAAATTATTTCTATTTGATAAACGCCAGAATAACAAGAGAGAAAAATTTTTATTACTTTCTTCAAAGTCAGAGGTTTACATACACGTCCTTAGTATTTGGTAGCATTGCCTTTAAACTGTATGACTTGGGTCAAACGTTTTGGGTTTCTTTCCACAAGCTTCTCACAATAGTTGACTGGAACTTTGGCCCATTCCTCCAGACAGAGCTGGTGGAACTGAATCAGGTTTGTTGGCCACCTTGCTCCACACACCTTTTCAGCTCTGCCCACAAATTGTCTACAGGATTGAGATCAGGGCTTTGTGATGGCCACACCACAACATTGGCTTTGTTGTCCTTAAGCCACCTTGTAACTTATTTGGCGGCATGCTTCAGGTCATTGTCCGTTTGGAAGACTCATTTGCACCCAAGCTTAACTTCCTGGCTGATGTCTTGAGATGTTGCTTCAATATTTCCACATGATGTTCTTTCCTCATGATGCCATCTATCATGTGAAGTGCACCAGTCCCTCCTGCAGCAAAACACCTCCACAACATGATGCTGCCACCCCCGTACTTCACAGTTGGGATGGTGTTCTCAGGCTTACAAGCTTCCCCTTTTTTCCTCCAAATGTAATGATGGTCATTATGGCCAAACAGTTCAACTTCAGTTTCATCAGACTACGGGACATGTTTCCAAAAATGAAGGTCTTTTTTCCCTGTGTGCATTTACAAACTGTAATCTGGCTTTTTTATGTTGCTTTTGGAGTGATGGTCTCTTTCTGTCTGAGTAGCCTTTTAGCCCATGTCGGTACAGGACTGGTTTCACTGTGGATAATGACACTCTCTTACCAGCTTTAGCAGCATCTTCACAAGGTCTTTTGCTTTTGTTCTGGGGTTCACATTTCACACCAAAACACGTTCTTCTCTGGAACACAGAACCCGTCTCCTTCCTGAGCGGTATGATGACTGGACATTTCCATGGTGTTTATAGTTGCGTAGAACTGTTTGAACAGATGAATGTTGAACCTTCAGGCTTCTGGAAATTGTACCCAAGGATGAACCAGATTTGTGGAGGTCCACAATTCTCTTCCTGATATCTTGGAGGATTTCTTCAGATTTTCTCGTGTTGTCACAAAAGGAAGCAGTGTGTTTGAGGTGTGCCTTAAAATACAGCCACAGGTGTGCCTCCAAGCAACTAAAATGTTGTTAATTAGCCTATCAAAAGCTTTCAGAGCCATGACATCATCGTCTGGGCTTTCCCAAATAGTTTGTAGGCGTAGTAATCTTAGTGTATGTAAACTTCTGACTTTGACTCTCACAAATTCATTCTCTCATCAGGAACAGTTTAGTCTGATTTAATGTCAGAAAGTGAGAAAGAAAAAAGTAATACGTCTTTTACACAGTCAATGTAAACTTCTGGTTTCAACTGGTGATAATTCAACTTACATTAGAATAAATCTAATATTTACTGCTGAAAACTATTGCATCTGGGTCTTTACCTAATTTCATGAATATGAGAGTTATAGTTCTGTAGTTATTGAACCTTTAAAATGATTCCCTAGTTTACTTTAGGGTGAAAATAGAAAAAACAAGTTTGAACACATGAAACTCTCAAAAGTCAGTCAAAAATATGTTGTCAGAAATTAGTTTGTGGTCAAAAATATCAAATAAGCCAAATTTGAACAAGATCTGGGATGATGCAGCGACACATTTCCTGAATTCTGTCTGAACTGACACATAATGATAATAAACATCCATGAGGTATTTTAACTAAACTATCTCCTAAACACTGAGCAAACAATTTTAATGACGCAAATGAAAGTGCTGTTGTGAAATCATCTCATCACCACAGTAGGCGTCTCAACAGAAACAATGTGTGATCACGTAAGAAACGCATTTTTAATTGGAAGTATATTTATTGTGGGATACTCCTTTAATCCAACATGAGGGAAAGCTACACCACAATTGAATGTAAGGTTTTGTAAGAGATGAGTGATTCCTACATATCACCGGTGTGGTGTTTTTATGCTCCAATGTCTCCGCCTCTGGATGTTCTTGGGTCAGAGAGAGTTTACTGCAACTGCAACAGGCAGGGCGGAACTGCTGTTCGCAGTGTGTCGAAGAAACACGGACGCCCAGGCGGAGTTTAGCGACACACACTCAACTAAACAGCTCAACCGTTTAAATGCCAGCGTGCTAGGCCAAATCCCCAGCTTTCACCGACGACGTCTCGGACACCGCCGCGGCTTGTTTTCTTTTGCGGGTGTTTCGGAAGGGTGTTTGAACTTCCCTCACATTTTCCCCCCCAACGTATTTTCACGAAGGGAGGCGGCGGTGGAGCGCTCGGCAGCCATCTTTGGACCTGCCTGGGAGTGGGATCTACTGACTACTCTGGCACCCCAGTTACTTCAAGGGTGGGGATTTTAACCTACAGTTATACACGAATGTGCGCCTTATAATCGACTGACAGCGTGAAAAACCGCAAGAATTCAGCGCACGAAACCGCCTCGCCGGGGATGAGACGGCAGGAACACTTTTATAATCCCAAACTGTTTTGAATTACGCGACATTCTCCACGGCGCTGAAAGCCCTGGCCTGTCAGAAGAGGGTGAGTTTCGGCTAGCTGGCTAAGCTAACTTAGCAAACATCACACAGGTTAGCGTGCTAAGTTAGCATTTTTCTCGAAAATGACTCCTGAATGTCGTTTAATTCCAAGTTGCCTGTGTAGTTGCTCAACCGTTCACGCAGTAAACACGACGTGGGTGTTGCTTGGAGTGTTTCTACATATGACACGTAACTTGGCTAACGTTAAGTTTGGTGTGTAGCTAACATCACAGGCAACGTTGGCTAGTTGGGAGCTCCTGAAACCACTGATTTGTTTGCGCACGCTTGAGAATATTGTGAGATCTCTGCGTTTTAGACTTTGTTAGTTTGGCTCTCTCTTGTGACAACCTGAAACAGCTGTTGGAAAGTGACAGCTTTCCGCAAATCCCACCTCGTACACTTTCTAATTCCACTTGTGTTGCAACTCCAGTGAGGAGTTACCACAGGTAACTTAGGCTGAAACGCAGCAGGTAATACTGTGCTGCTGCTTTACCCTAGAAATGTGATTTTTATTTATTTATTTTTTGGTTTCATGATGGAATAACCATGACTATTTATGTTTTTTCTGAACAGTAGCAGTATTATGTTTACCTTCAGTGTCTACCAATCCTTATATACAAACTAAGGCCCATTTGCCATTAGCTCAGATCAATGTAGTTTAATGCAGGCCTGCACATAAACATACAGTGAGATTTGTTTTTGGTCTTTGACATTGGTGGTGAAGATAAAGGAAAAGGTGGTGGTTGACACAGTGTGATTCAGTGTTTATTGTGCTATGGATTGGAGTGCCCAAAGGAAATGACTTAATTGACCTCTGTCACTGTTTAAAGTTTAAATAGTGCTTTGATTTAAAAAACAAAAAAATGATGGTTGCTGTAATTTGTAAGGACACATTATCAGCATAGTGTGATAGATTTAACAACTTTATTTTTGTTGTCCTCAATTGCAGTCCAGGTATGAAGGCATGCAATTGCTGTTATGTCAAGAAAGACAGATAATCACTGGTCAAAATGCTCACCAGGGCCCATTCCTACCTCCCTATAGCTGTGCGAACAGGAAATGCTGAGAAATGCAGCGCAGTGAGGGCATACATTGGGAATTCCAGCCCTCCAGCTTTGTTGTCCTGTCCTGCTGCATTCTTGTGCGTGTGTGTGTGTGCGTGTTAGCTGGAACGCAAGGGTGTTTTATGAAGGTATCAGTTATCATCACTCACTTTTGTGCTCACGTGTCCACAGTTGAAAATCCTATCATGAGATATGACAACAAAGCTCATTCATGAGCAACAATGTAGTAAAGAACAATGGCAATAAAGAGGCACAGTCCCACATGGTAATGAGGCTTTATTTCAGGGCTGTGGCTGCATCTGTGTAGAATAGTGAGTTGTTCAGTGTTGTTGTGAGACAAAAGATGTCTGCTTGAACTGGGGGCTGTTTCTCCCAGGCTGGGAAAGAAGTCTTGTGACTCTAGCGTCAGCTCTGCATCTGTTTGCAACTGATCATCTGAGCCGCATGGACTCAGTAAACTTTTCTCAGTGATCTCTTACAGTCTTCATTTGTATTACAGCTGTTAAGATATATAAAACTCCTAAATAGTAATACATTTGAACTTGACAGTGGTGTTTTGGACTTAGACTTTGTTCTTTCATCTATGTAATTTTAAAAGGTGAAATTATTTAAGATTTACAAAAAAACAGCAAGTTAGAAAAAACACATTTTGCTTCATATCCCAAGTGATATCTCATCATATAGTTTTGTTTTTGTATGGCAAGTGTTTGTGATGAATTGAATCCACACCACATTACTATGGATATTTTTAGTGTTATTTATTTATTTATTTATTTTTACATTCAGAAAAAAAAACAGATCTCATTGACTGTTTCCAGTAATGTTTACCCAGGATATTACTTTTGGAAAGGCATGCTGCTTTTCATTTGTAATTTTTCCACAACAGATTATTTGTCTACATTGGAATATTGCGGCTGTGGGTAGGGCAAATAATGCCAAAACTATCAGCATGGTTACAAGCTGCCAAGGATAATTGGGAACTTTTTTTTGTGTGTGTGATTTTTATGGACTAACCCTTTAATCACTTGTAGGAAGATTATACAGTATGTACAGTGTTTGGTATGTTTGAGAGTGTGTGTTTACCAAGTACTTACAGGTTTAACAAGTAGTCCTGTCACTGGAATGCTTTGTTTCATTTCATGCTCCATTCACACAGTGAAGGAGCTTGTTGTTACCTCGATGTCTTTGTTCACACTGCAGATTGTCGACTGCAAGACAGTTCTTTGTATCACATCTGTCTGTCTACATACCAGTCACTGAAGGTGTGAGGCAAGGTTGTCAGGACACAGCCCACTGATTTCATTGCTGTAGTTACTATGGAAACAGGAGACTTATCTCTTGCTACCTCAGGATTTCCAACTGGCCATTCTCCACTTTTGCACCTGACATCATGGTCTGGCTCATGTTTTGTGTAGCCTTTTCTCACCCAACGGAGAGCTCTTATGCTAATATAACATGGTTAATATTGTAGCATACCATTACCAATGCAAAGGAACTTATTAGTAAAGTGGAGAATCCCACCCCAAAACATTCAAATTAACTTTGGAGTCCACTCTTGGAGAATATTTTACTTTACCAACATTCATTCATTTATCTTTAAAAGACAAAACAGGCTCTCCAATTTATACATGGGACATATGACTCCATTAAGTTGTGCAGCCCTACTGTTCTGGTATTCCAGTGTACTTATTCTTGGTTTTCTTCTTACTTCCAGCTCTGAACACATATGAAACCACTGTCCTGCAGATGAGCCACCAGTGGGGGCTTTCGCGTCGCTGTCGCAGACCCAGATAGTTCCTGGCGGCAGCGGCATTGCCCCCAACTCCCCATTATGCCCAACAGCAGTCGGGCGGGGAGCCTGAAGGACCCCGAAGTAGCTGAGCTGTTCTTCAAGGAGGACCCAGAAAAGCTCTTCTCGGATCTGCGGGAAATTGGACATGGCAGCTTTGGTGCTGTATATTTTGTGAGTATTTCACAACATAAGCACATGGTCCGAGCCTCAGGCCATGCTCAGTTTGACATCAGACTTGCTTCTGAGGAGGCTGCTGAGAAAATACAGCCTCCGTTTTTCATTTTAGTGAGACCACTGTGTTGGCACATAAGGGTCCTCTGAAGAACTAAGCAGTCGTTTGGATAGAGAAGTTAAATAGAAAGAATCCTGTGTCATAGAAAGGCATGGTAAATCAAAGCCAGTTTAGTTTTAAGTCACCTTTTAACCACAAAGGAGATCTTAGAGAAACACAAGGCAATATAAAAAGACAATATAAACTACAAATATAGGAACATAAATCGCTAACTAAAAGTGCAGTATAAACGTGTTTTAAACTGTCAGATTTACAATGTGAAGATATAAATATGCCAAAAGATTTCAGCTTTGTAGCCTTAAAGGTCATTTGAATACTACAGATCAATATTCAGATTTGTTTCAGAGAGAGCATTGTTATATAAACCACAAATCATTATAGGTTCTTTAAAACATTTTGGAATAATACAGAACTATTCTTAAAATGCAGCATTGTTTTAGCTGCACTGTATTCGCACGACAGCCTAAGACTTTGACGTCCAGTAAACTACAAATTCTACAGCGAAAAAAAACCAACTTGATATTTGTTGATATAGTTCTGATGGTGAGATCTGATATAAAGTCTTTGAGTATATGATAATTTGGGTGGGACCTCATGCTTTCATTCATTGCAGTAGATAAAATGGTTTATATAACATCTATAATGTGGATGTTATGTCTAAGCAGTTAGGAACATATCTTGTCAGTCAGATCACACAGAATTGTATTCATTAATGTTATACAATGCCATGTTGGTTCAACACAAAGTCACAGAGTCTACATTGTCTGAATACTAATGTGGAACATGTGGTTGAGTCTCTAATGCCGATTATGTTGTCATGTTGATTGAGTCAATAAGGTTTTGATGTTTATTTATTACTACACAAAGACACAATTTATCTTTACATGCATGTCATAAAAATACAATGGGAATCTCAAAATATTTGAATGTGGTACTTTTACGGTTGTCCATGTAGCCCGAGTCAATAAACTAAATTGTTTATCGCTATTAAAATTGTAGCGTGAAGATGACAATTACCACTGTGTAATGTGCTTATCACTCAGGCACGGGATGTGCGGACAAATGAGGTGGTGGCCATCAAGAAGATGTCCTACAGTGGGAAGCAGTCCACTGAGGTATGAAAGCATTCCCCAACCTGTCTTATGTAACTGACTTTTTAACTCATGAATGTTGTTTGTCTTGTTGTCGTGGTTCTATGAATTTTACTGTTTTCCCAGAAATGGCAAGACATAATCAAGGAGGTGAAATTCCTGCAGAGAATACAACATCCAAACAGCATAGAGTACAAAGGATGTTACCTGCGAGAGCACACTGCTTGGGTAAGATTCTGTGTTTTGAGTGTCAGTGGTGATAATATATGACTAAACTGCTTTATCCAGTGATTGATTAAGAGGGACAGAAACAAATTCACACAAAATGCTCTTTATTCCATTGCAGCTGGTAATGGAGTATTGTCTAGGCTCTGCTTCAGATTTGCTAGAAGGTGAGTTGAAATCCTTGAAGTCATGATCATTGTGCGAGGCTGCATGACTAATAGGAAGAGACGGTATTCTCTTTGCAATTGTCGATTTACATCACTGGTGATGCATTCTTTCCAGTTCACAAGAAACCTCTGCAAGAAGTTGAAATAGCTGCAATTACCCATGGTGCTCTTCAAGGGCTGGCTTATCTTCACTCCCACAACATGATTCACCGGTGAGCGTTTCAAGTGTTTAGGAGCATGCTGTGCACCAAGTGCTTATGCCCTGAGGCTTTCTGTCTTCTATGTGGCTCTGCAATCATTTCCGCTTATGTGTTCGACAGAGATATCAAGGCAGGAAACATCTTGCTGACAGAGCCAGGGCAGGTAAAACTAGCAGATTTTGGATCGGCCTCCATTGCCTGTCCTGCAAACTCCTTTGTTGGGACTCCATATTGGTATGTTACAAAATATTCATAATGAAGTTTGTTTTGGAGGACCTCTGTAGTTTTTAATTCATTTATTATTTACATATTTGCATTGTGCTGTTTGTGTTTGTTTTCTCAGGATGGCCCCAGAAGTAATTTTAGCTATGGATGAGGGTCAGTATGATGGAAAGGTGGACATTTGGTCTTTGGGAATAACCTGCATTGAATTAGGTACGTCACTATTATATATGGCCTGGTACGCATTGTACACTTGGACGTCATTTGCTTTTACATTGAATACATCCACACATTTCTTTTTATACATTTATAAACCTCCAGCCGGCATTAGGTTAGCTCTGAGTCATTCAATAATTAAATAACCTTGCTCTTTCTTCCTCTTCATATTTCTTCACATCATATGTCCTTAATGTCTCCTTAATGTAACCTGCTTCTTTGTTCGTAGCTGAGAGGAAGCCTCCACTGTTCAACATGAATGCAATGAGTGCCTTATACCATATAGCACAGAATGAGAGCCCTGCACTGCAGCCCAGCGAATGGTGAGTTCAGAATTCAATTTCTTAGTTTTAAACAAACTGACTCAATAAAAAATAACATTCTAAACTTTCCTTTTTTTCACATTTCATTTCTCAACCATAGGACGGATTATTTCCGAAACTTTGTAGATTCTTGCCTTCAGAAATTTCCCCAGGATAGGCCGAACTCTGAGGAGCTCTTAAAGGTAAAAATCACAAGAGGCTGTGACAGATTTCTGTTTTCATGGTTATTCCTTCTAACCACATTAGAATGAAGGATTTCAATACAACACGACCTTTTATGTTTGTTGTTTGTTTGTTTTTTTCAGCACGCATTTGTCCAGCGTGAGAGACCAGAATCAGTTCTAATAGATCTGATAAATCGAACTAAAGATGCCGTGCGGGAGCTAGACAATCTGCAGTATCGTAAAATGAAGAAGATCTTGTTTCAGGAAGCCCACAATGGCCCTACAACTGAGGCGCAAGATGAGGAAGAGGTCTGTCACGTGACTTTCAACCATTCCTAGCTTGCCTCTGTGTTTTTCATTTTATACTGTTGCGTCATCCTATGTTATAAAAGGACATTGTTGTAACTTGTTGCTCTCTGCTGTGTGTTATTTTTAGGAGCCAGAACACAGTGTGGGTAGGACGGGTACAGTGAACAGTGTAGGGAGCAACCAATCCATCCCCAGTATGTCAATCAGTGCCAGTTCCCAGAGCAGCTCCGTCAATAGCCTAACAGACGCAGGCGATGACAAGAGTGAGGTGGACATGGAGGGAGACCACACAGTGATGTCCAACAGCTCTGTCATACATCTGAAACCTGTAAGACTCCGCAATGAAGCCTTGTCCTAATTATGTGCTTTTTACAGTTTATAATTGAGTCATAGAATTGTAATCAAAGTTTCCTGTTGATTTCTTTCAAATCTATTCAGAGATATTATGTGGATCTCCTCTGTTTGCCATGAAATTTGTTGTTCTGTTAACATGTTCCTTTGTGCATTTTTGCGTACTGTTTAGGAGGAAGAGACGCGTAATGAAGAGTCAGAGCCTCACAACCGGCCAACTGAGCCACAGTCCCCTCCTGCACACACTCCACGGCCAAAACGAAACCGCGAACACTTTGCTACTATACGCACAGCTTCAGTGGTAACAACACAGTTTTTATACTTGGAAATCTAATATTACAATGACGAGAATAACTGCTTGTTAATTCAGCTAGCTGCTCATATTCCTGCTTGGCATTTTCCACATCCATGAGTTGACAAAAAGCAAGTCTTCTCAGATATTGTCCTTGTGATCACAGAATGCTTTTAAGGCTAAAAGTAATTTGCATTATGTAAGCAAAAGCAGGGTCATGAATTGGCTCAAAACATTTATGCATGGGCGCGTTTACATGGTACTCTTGCATACTGTATATATTGTTCTCTCAAACTCTTGTTCTTTCCACCTAACATCACGAAAATCTGTGTCTTGTGTTTGCCAGCTCACTCGCCAGATTAAGGAGCATGAGCAGGATTCTGAATTAAGGGAACAGATATTGGGCTACAAGCGCATGAGGCGGCAGCATCAGAAACAGCTGATGGCTCTGGAAAACAAGCTGAAGGCTGAAATGGATGAGCACAGACTCCGTCTGGACAAGGAGCTGGAGAATCAGAGGAATAGTTTTGCCCAGGAGATGGAGAAATTGGTCAAGAAACACCAGGGGTCCATGGAGAAAGATGTATGCTTTCAACTTATACATGTAGTCACTCAGTGTTTCTGTTTACACTGGCCATTGTTTTTCATAGATCAAACTGATTTTATTACATGTCTTTTTCAATCAGGCTAAAACCTTTAGTAATGATGAAAAGAAGTTCCAACAGCATATCCAGAGTCAGCAGAAGAAAGAGCTGAACAGCTTCCTAGAATCCCAGAAACGGGAATACAAACTTCGCAAGGAGCAACTGAAAGAGGTAAAGACTTTGACGCTCTCCTCCCATACACTGTTCCCCAATTGTGCCTTTCAGTTTACCTGCAGCTTCAAATAGGCATCAATTAGTCGTAGGAAATCAGTTCTACTAGTGACCTGTAATCCTTCTTCCCTTTAGGAATTGAATGAAAACCAGTCGACACCCAAGAAAGAGAAGCAGGAGTGGTTGTCCAAGCAGAAGGAGAACTTCCAGCACTTCCAAGCAGAGGAAGAGGCCAATTTACAGCGCAGACAGAGGCAGTACCTGGAGCTGGAGTGCCGCAGATTCAAACGGAGGATCTTGATTGCTCGTCACAACATTGAACAGGACCTAGTGCGAGAGGTCAGTACTGTCTCCTGCTTTGTATCCTTAATGTTACAAATTTTAAATAATTGCCTATTAAAATAAAATTTCTCCCTTAATTTGTCTTTGATAAGTGACTTTCTGTTCTCTTTGTTTGTCTCTCCATGTGCATGTAATTAGGAGCTAAATAAGCGTCAGACCCAGAAGGATTTGGAACACGCCATGCTTCTCCGGCACCATGAGTCCATGCAAGAGCTGGAGTTCCGCCAGCTCAACACCATCCAAAAAACAAGGGCTGAGCTGATCCGCCTGCAGCACCAGACGGAGCTCACCAATCAGCAGGAGTACAACAAGAGGAGGGAGCGAGAACTTAGGCGCAAGCATGTCATGGAGGTCCGCCAGCAACCCAAGAGCCTCAAGGTTAGAATAAACCTACAAGCATGCCTTTACATTAAATATAAAATAAAATGCTCTTGCAGGATCTGTCTATTGTGCAACTCACTATTTGTCAGAAAGGTCCAGTGGGCGAAAACACAGATCTATACATTTTGCATCAGAGTTAGGAATGTGCAGTTTTTACCTCTCTGCTGGCTAGGCAGATAGTTTTGAAAAATCAAGAATTTAGCCTGAACTATTTTTCCTATTTATGTAAAGCCTGATTTTCAGATTCTGCTTGCTCAGTCTGAGCCCCAAAAATGTGACAGACGTAATACGGATAATAAAGTTCTGTTTCCGTGTGATTTTCATTCAAAAATAGATAATACATTTAATCACTTTTCTCCACAACATAGTCCAAAGAGCTACAGATCAAGAAGCAGTTCCAGGACACATGTAAGATCCAGACCAGACAGTATAAAGCACTGAGGAACCATCTGCTGGAGACTACACCAAAGTCAGAGCACAAAGCTGTCCTTAAACGCCTGAAGCAGGAGCAACACCGCAAACTTGCCATCTTGGCAGAGCAGTATGACCACTCCATCAATGAAATGCTTTCTACTCAGGCGGTAAGGAATTTAGAATCCTCAAGTTGCAAAATAGGACTATTTAAATGCCGCCCAGTATTACATTTTGCCACCTCTATTGAATGTTTTCAAATCAGTAATAGCTGTGTATGTGTTTTACTCCTTGGATGCTCATTGTGATTGTCTCTCTGGACTTAGCTACGTCTGGATGAGACTCAGGAGGCTCAGTGCCAAGGCCTACGAATGCAGCTACAGCAGGAGCTGGAGCTTCTCAATGCCTACCAGAGCAAGATCAAGATGCAGACGGATGCCCAGCATGACCGTGAGAGGAAGGATCTGGAGCAAAGAGTGTCACTCCGAAGGGCCCTGCTGGAACAAAAGGTTCTTCTCTATAAATGATTCTGCTGATGAGATTTACATTGGTTGAATGTTGCAAGGTTTGAGTTTAGAGGCAGTTTGCATATAAAACCTCACACTTCTTTGAATTATTCTTGTGTATTAGACATGCTCCAAGCGAAGTTGGGCGAGGTTGTGTTGGGATTTACACAAGCTTAGTGAACTCCATGTGTTATTGGTGAAAAATGTGTAATGTCTCCATCCATAACAGATACATCAAAATTAACAGGAAAGAAGTGGACATTAATCAAGCTTAGTTTGTACATGTCTACTATATGCATTTAATTAGGTAAAACAGGTGAAAACTATTGTCAGTGTGTTCCATGTGCTGGAATTTCACTTTTAGAAAAGATATTTTGGCTTGTAGGAAAGGTGCAGTTGCTCTATTTTTTTTTAATATACTCAAGTGTCCCAGAAAGTCATATATTTGTGACCAGCTGATACAAAAGGAACAGTGGCCTGACATAAGGATGTGTCCACAGGAGGAGGAAGGAGAGCAAGACACTAATCTAAAAATGCATTTTCATATCAAGAGAAACTTTTCTTGTTTTCTAAAACCCATTTTCTACCTTTTCATTATGGTTTCCTACTCTGTGTCTGCCAGATTTGCACTTGTAGTGTTTGAGGTTTTTTTTTTTAAACTCTGTCTCATTCTGCCCTTCTTTCTATAGATTGAGGAAGAGATGCTGTCCTTGCAGAATGAACGCTCGGAGCGAATTCGGAGCCTGCTGGAACGCCAAGCCAGAGAAGTTGAGGCTTTTGACTCAGAGAGTATGCGCCTAGGCTTCAGCAACATGGTGCTATCAAACATCTCCCCAGAAGCCCTTAGCAATAGCTTTCCCGGTGCTCCAGGAAGTTGGAGTCACCATCAGCCGCAGCACCCATCTGGGAGCTCTCATGGGCCACACTGGGGCAGCGGCAGTTTGGGTGCAGGGTCAAGCCACCAAGGCAGCCATCACCACTATCACTCCAGTCCGGGAGGGGCACCTATGCAGCAAGGCTGGGGGCAGGGCATGCAGGGAGGAGGGGGTCCACGGCCGTGGGGCCACCCGTCATCTGGATCCCTGGTCTCTCGCAATAGTGGAGGTATCCAGAACAGCCCCCAAGCAATGGGGAGGACATCCTCAGGAGGGGCAAGGGGCGAGCAGGGCATGAGCAGGAGCACCAGTGTCACCTCTCAGATATCTAACGGGTCACACCTCTCCTACACATAGATCCTCCATCGACCCTGGAGTTAAGAGTTTGAGCGTGGAGATGTAGAATCCAACAAACACAGCAGGACAGAGTATTGGCTGAGCTCTGCTGCTCTGTCTCTCTGTCTCTCTCTGTGACACTTACCCTACCATTTCTCCCATGTACAGATGTGGATGTGTGATGAAATAAATGTTGCTCAGGTCAAAAGGGCTGGAAAAGGCACAGCCTGTCCTCACGGCAGTTTATCGGCACACATACAAATCCTTAAATTTATGTTACATAAGCAACTTGAGTGTCAACATGTTACTCCCATTTGTTTTTATTTACAGTTCTCTCCTACGGAGGATTTTTTTTAAAACATACGTTTGTGCTATTCACAGCCATTGCTCTCATTTTGCACATGAAGCACTGTTAAAATGCCTTTGACACGTGTTAACTATGTCCTTAGAAATGTGGTATCAATCACAGTAAACTGAGTTACTTCAGGATCCTTCCCCTCCTCCAATATCCCCATTCATACACAGTAATACACTGGCCAATCCTCTGACGGTGGTTAAAATCGCAGCAGCCCTAACTGAAGATGCTTTGCTGATGTGATACCAGCCTGCTGTAATGGTCATTGGGATAAATTAGATGCCTCCTTTTATTCAGTAGTTGTTGTTTTTTTTTCATGTATGATTTAATGGTCATCAACCAAAATGACACTTTACAAATTCAGAGCCAAATAAACTAATCTTAGCTATTTCAGGCATATGCTACAACACTACTACAGTGCCTTTTAATACTTTGACAATTGAAATCAGTCCTGGATGTTTATAGTTGAACATTTTTAATTTTAGCATTTTCTAATCAGTGCTAGTGTATGTTTAGTTTAGCCTGTTTTACCACGTGATTTTAGTTCCAGACTTCCCTTTTTTTTTTTTTTTGCAGATTATTATATTTACAGTGTATGCAGTAAATATGTTTTAGGTCTTATAAATACTGAGGAATAGAACATTACTTGTGCATATCAGTAACTCTATTTTTATGTCTTTGGGTGGTACTCAAGGGGTACAATGGGAAACCCCTGCTTTACAGAGAATGTCACTGTACTTGTTCACAGGGGGAATTGTGAGACAACAGGAGAGTCATTGGCCTTCAGAAACAATCCTAGTATCGATCTGTTTTATTTTTATTAGTGCCTTTTAAAACTGCTGCCTTTTTCAAAGCACTTTATACAGCTAAATGTGTGTAAAATTTATATTTGACTTCTTTTCGCGAAGCACCTGGTGGATGAATGTTTCATCGGTACGTATGTAGTTAAGTTGAGGAGTCAAACTTACTTGTGCTGTGATATTTTTTTTTTTTTTTTTTTTTTCATCGGTACGTATGTAGTTAAGTTGAGGAGTCAAACTTACTTGTGCTGTGATATTTTTTTTTTCTTTTTTTAGGAGCAATTTCCCAAGTTACAGACATGGCCTAGGGTAAGGCAGCCTCCTATATGTGAGTGAAAGCATTATCCCCTGTTTTGCAGCTGTTACCGCGTTTTGAAATTGTTGCTGTTGGTTATCTCCTGGGTGTGTTATGCTGAATTTTGATTGAATAGCGTATGTGAGGATGCTGCAGGCTTTTTAGAAATGTTTTGGCCGTGTTTTTTTTTATTATTACAAACTAAACTGAGTAAACTGAAGAGAGTCTATTACGTGCAGGCAGGTAGCTTAAGGTACTTGTCATGACCATGACAGCAGGCTTGGCGCTACTAAACAAAAAAAACACTGTTGAACCATGTCGGGACCCAAATTAGCACCATTTAAAAATCTAAAAGGTGCTAAGGTATAAATGTTACAGCATCTCATTAGAACCTAAAAACAAGGGTGACAGAATCAAGATGACATTGTTGCATTGAAATGTAAAACTGATTCAACCCACACGCTTAAAAAAAACAGCCAAATGGAGAATAAATGTGGCAAGAAGCACTTAGGTATTCCTTTGACAGCTCGAGCAGTTTCTCTCTGAATCGTATCTGTTTCTGCTTTCTCCCTGTCTCTCTGGTTTGAGGTTGATAATATGTCCCTGGAGAAGTACGTGCCCTTTTAACCTTTTAACAGCATCTCCGTTCAAGCGAGACTTGTCATCTCCATACAGAGAAAATGAAACACTTCACTTACAAAAGGCCTTTCAGAATAACTCTCCAGAGATTTAAAATATGCTCCCCTGAATCACAAAGCTGGAGTTAAACATTCATATGTGTGTTTTTTTTGTTTGTTTGTTTTTTTAAAGAAAAAAATGTAAAAACTAAACTTGCATTTTAAGAAAATAATTTCTAAAATTAACTTTATTTAACTGACAGACCACACTGACAGGAGCAAACCTTTCACTCTCAAAGTTAAGGTGGTGATGAGTTTTGTGGACATTCCAAGACAGTCTTGGTTTTGTGTACACAGACAGAATGCCTCATATTCACACATTTACTGTCATCTCCTTTAAATGCCACGTATGTAGTCGACCGGCCATCTCTGAGCATTACCACTGCACATATTTTTCCCCCCATTCCACTCTGATTCAGAGCCTCTTTTTCAGATGCTGGCTCTCTCTGAATGTTGTTCTTTGATATATTCCTATCACGTTTGAGGACACAAAAATGCTGGGATCTTTTTTTTTTTTTTCTTTCTAGGTTGGATTTTAATTTTCCGTATGTGTATATCCTACCTGGAAAGTCATGCATTATATCAAGTTACATATGGTTTGGTCCCAAAACTTGTGTTGTTGTGTTTTTTAATGCCAACTGATTAGTTCCAGCTACTGTAACACAGCAGGTTATATTCATCATTTCTTTTCTGATTTATTCATATTTGGTGAAGAAAATGAGAATGTATTTATCATTATTGGATTCTTACCATAAGTCAAAGGCCAAGGCCGAGAGTTTGAATGTCAGGCCAATCAAACCTCACATACATGCCAACTTCAACTTTATACGAACACATTTTGTTCACTTTTATGTCATGGGTTGTGTGTGTGAGGGAATCCGGATATTGTCGTCAGTCGTAAGACCTCTCCACCAGCCTGGATTTTTTTTTTTTTTTTTTTTTTTTTTTTATTATTTTACTTTTAACTTTGATGTCAGATTTTGTCCTACTGACTGAAAGCATGTGGGATACTGAACGAGAATCGGCAACAGAAAATAGCGATCCTTTCTATGGTCAAACACTGTGCCATACCTGAGTTGCCAAGCCCAGATACCACTGCATTTGTTTCATCTCCATGGTTTTACCTATCATCGGGCTGACGACATGAAATGTATGAAACATTAAAACAAGTTGGTTCTGGTCTCGTGGCCAAAGTAAAAAAAAAAAAAAAAAGGCTTGAAAAGATGATGGGGTGACAGGCAAATTATGAAAAGATATTGCATTTCTTTGAAGATGTCAGTATTCTTTGGCACATTACCACTACAACTCATAAACCTGTATTAAAATGTATAGATGGTGGAACTTGTTATTGAATGTCTGAGAGATTATGAAGATACTACATAAGAGATGGTAAAGTACTAAAAGTGGATTTAAATTGTGTAAAAAGATTGATAAAACAAAATAAAAATAGGATCAAATTTACTATATTGTTTGTATTGTATTTACCATTGTGTTGGCAGAGGGATATTGAACAGAAATCAGCTGTAATAAAGTAATTTTAGTATAATTCTCCTTGTGTATTTTTTTTTTGTTTATGCTGTCCTGAATACATAAAGTGTGCAGCTTTAATTTGCTAATACTGATCCAGCAGGAGACTGCAAGGTGGAGCAGTTGGTAGCACTGTTGGTGGGGGCATCGGGATCTTTCTGCGTGGAGTTTGCATGTTCTCCTTGTGCAGCGTGGGTTCTCTCTGGGTTCTCCGGCTTCCTCCCACAAGGTCCAAAAACATGTTGAGGTTAATTGGTCATTCTAAATTGTCCGTAGGTGTGAATGTGAGTGTGCTTGGTTGTCTGTGCAGCCCTGTGATAGACTGGTGACCTGTCCAGGGTGTCCCTTGCCTTCGCCCTAAGTCAGCTGGGATAGACTCCAGCCCCCCGCGACCCTGGTGAGGATTAAGCGGTGTATATATAATGGATGGATGGATGATCCAGCAGGCCACTCCTGTTGCCACCCCAGCTCTGATATGTTTATTCACCACAACTCTGATTTCCACGTTTGAGTGAATGCAGCTATGGCCTCTAAGCACATGTAAAAGTCAATATTTGATTAGTTATCGTTAGTCTGGGACCTGACCGTAAACATCACAGAGTGCAAAACACAGTTTGTCTGCCTTTAGATGACCTACAAAGATCTCACAGAGAACCTTTGCAAAGTGAAGGTAATGTGAGTGAGCTTCACCTTGCTTTCTTTTCAATTTCACACCAATACAAACTTAAATGAAATATAACTTTAGTGCATTTAAATCTCTATTAATGACGCTAATATATCGATTCTGGTTTTGGCAAAACATTAACAGGAACTGTTGTTTGTTGAGTTCCACCAAAGCTGGATATCGTTTTACTGTAAAAGTTGGATCCATTCACTCAAGTCAAAATATTTTTCTGTCATATCAAATTATTACTATTGTTTCTTTTAGGGAGACTTTTCCATTTCACAGCAAAATATTTCATATTGATGTGTGTATAGATGCATTATCGAATGTGATCTCTCTAATTAATATATGACCAAAATGTGGCAACAGATGGCAAAGTCATCATAATTAGATAAATCATCATCATGCATGAGCAGAATTTTGATCCACTCCCCTCAAATGGAAGATTTCCTTTCATGGGCTGTTTTTAAATGTGGCCTCCCTGATCAAATGTCAAACATGCCTGTACTGGTCGGCACATAATTAGATCATTAGTCACATTTACTGTAAAATAGGGACGCAGAAAATGTCTTAACTCTTATATTGATCTAGCTTCTTTTTTTTTCTTGTAATACTGTACATTATACAGTTCCTGAAACTCACATGGCATTTTCAGTGGCTCCATCTTCGGAGGCGCCACTCGGCCGCAGAAAAGGCCTTGACCGGCCCTCTGAGGATCCGCGGACCGCAGCTTGGGACCACCTCCATAACTGGTTCCAGAAGCGGAAATGCATGCAACGTGATATGTGACGAGCATTGTAAACAAAAGTGAATGTTTAGCTCGCCTGGGAATGGAATGCCGTCTCAAGAGTCATTATTGATTTGAGTGAGTAAACAGGACTTTAACACCATTAAACCTGCACAGCTAACTCTGTGTTCGCCCCGTAAACAATGTGGGAATATGTGATAAATGTAACGGACGCTGTGAAATTATGGGTCTTCAGTTTGCTCTTCTCGTGTGGCTAAGCTAACTTCAACCGACGTTTCACTTGCGGAATATTTGCACTGGTAATTCATTAATCATTTTAAATGTAATTATTTCTGTTAAAGTCCGAACGTGGTGGTTAGCTTTAGTAGCAACACAGTATAGCTAGCTGGCTAATGTAGCTCGACTTTAGCTAGCAAGCTAGCAAGCTTATTTATATTTCGGTGACGCCAAATAATTAGTCTCTGCATCGTGGACATCGAAAAGGTTGTAACGATAGTGCAAGGTTGGTTGATGTTAGGTCACATAATTATGTATCCTGGACTGAATATCTGTCGATACTGAACGTTAACAGACATTTTTGG